GTGTGCATAAGTTGAGAAAATCAGTAGTGGAAAGCTTATTTGAAATTCGATGACATTCCAAAGTTGATCGTTGGTATCGATGACTCCACAACCCACCGATCGAGCGAGTAGTCAAAACGAGTGTGGATGTACAAGTGTCCAATAACAAAATTCACGTCCAGACGGATGGGCGATCAGCAACACGGACAGGGGGATGCTATTATTATTAGTTCACGTTTTATCATGGTATCACGAAAATAAATAAGTTAACGAAAAATTCAAAAAACAAATCACGTGCTTTAGAAAACTTTGCTTCGAAGCAGAAAAACGTGAAACTACTAAATATTTCACCCCCGCAGGAACCAAGCGAGCATAGCTCCGCTACTCGACAGCCATCACCCCCGTCTATATCCCAGACAAGTTCATAAACATGCACATCATATACATACATATTACGGTAGAGCTAACTTGTAACCCACGTAGCGCGTGGTAGACGGGATAAGTTTTTTCAAAGGATCTTGGCAAGCCGCGCTGAAACATTAATACACCGCGAAGGCTCCCCTCTTCGTCTATCCACCTTTTCTCTGGTTACTAGAGCGATCTTTTTACCTTGTATTTCCCGGGGAGCGGTTGTGGGCAGCTATGCATTTATGCCGTCGTACACCGGTAGTCAGCGTGAGCGGGGAATAGAGGTTAAGTGGGTAAAAAAAAACAAAAGAAAAAAAAAAAAAAAAACGGGATGCACCCGGATGTACACGAGCACAATAAAGCGGGGAGCCCTCGAGGGTCTCGGTGAGTCGGACGAACAAGATTTATTTTGCTCGAATTTTCGCTCGGGGAGTTATCTTTCTCTCCCTTACGCGCGCGCTCACTGATGCTCGTTCCGCCGCGGTTTTACAGCCGTCGGGGATCCCGAGTGACACCCCAACGTTACGGCCGCGAGTTATTCAATTTTCCTCGAAAAATCTCGGATTACCGCTGCCACCAGATATCGCGATAACAACAACCGACCTCTCTGTGTGACGTCGTCCCTATCCTTTCCTAGCTGCGGTGTGTCAATACACGCGCCCCCGATTGTTTTCAGCAATGAGGGTCACCCGTGATTACCAAGTACGCCAAGGGGTGGGGGTGACTATTATGTGGTGACTCCTAATACAGCTCTTTGGCCTAGTGTACAGTCGCTTCACTTGCAACTCCGTCAATGCCCCGAAGACAATTTGGCAATTAGTCAGCCGAAGGATTATTGTCGCGTCGCAGGAACGTAATTCAATCTCTTGTGCAGCTCGATCGGCAATCGATTGCGCGGAAATTTATTTTCATGGTATTGGTGTACACGTCTCGTGCACGATGTAAGAAACAAAAAATGAAGAAAAAAAATAAAGCGAGCCGTAGAAAGACCACGTCGGATCGAGAGTGTTGTCTGTGATTACAAGCTGTGAGCCACCCTGTAGGGGATGAACAGAGGTCACGAGTGTTCATCCTTCGTATCCTTCGTGTCTATATTCAGAGCTTACATACGCGCGTCGTTGGTTAATTTGAAGGAGACGCGTGTCTCGACGTCAACTCGACGTGCCCTGACGTTCGGATTGACGGATCGACCGGTTGATCCGGAGGGGAGGAGACTGGTATATAAATTTTCGCGAAAGCTTCGAATATTAAAAAACGTGGAAGTTGCCGAGTGCTTTTCAATTGTAAAAGCTCCAGCTGCGACCGAGGCTGCATTGAATTTACGCTCGCGCCGAGAAAAGTTAGCAGCGGGGTAAAAAAGGGCCATTGCGTACGTAGTGCAATAAACGTGTGTTCGCACACGCGACTGAGCGAACACGTCTGTATACAATGGTTGAAAGTATTATTACTACCATCAACTTTCATCCTGAGATCTAAAGAGCGAGTGTATGTATTATCATCTGCAAAAACATTTTTGGTCTCGGATGAAGTGATAGGATGTTTTGGCCGATCAAACGGTTGATGATGGCTTGTTGTCCAACGTAATGGTTATCCAATGCACCGCTACGATTTACAGGTACTTTTTGAAAGTTGTTGCATTGAGACACGGTGAATAGCCAAAGCGAGAATTCCGTCGCCTCGGAACGTTGAAATTTCCAGAAAAACTTTTGCGCGCACGACGCGGAGCGAGGGTGTTTTAGAATTTGCCGATAGGTGTACATTCGGAGCGGGTTATGGTGGTGCGGGGGTTGAAAAACACGTGCCAGCCCGTATGTTTCGATGCCGTAAATTTTCGGCGGAGCGAAAGATAGAGAGAGAGAGAGAGAGAGCCGAGTTGCAGGTGGTGGAAGAAGTGGCCCCAGGGCTGGCTCGTACATCGTGTCGCCGCACATATCCATCCATAGGTATACAATACATGTATGAACGAGCTCCTATGGAGGACTTGGCGCAGGAGAGTCGTACGTATTCGCGTATACGGTATACATATGCCATACAAGTCGATCGAGTAGACGAAAATACGTGATCTATCCTGCCTCGGGGCACTTTTCAAACTCCAGAGATGTATCTTTAGTTCGAGTCCGCCGTGTATCTGTATACGTGTACGGGCATCGGTGGACGTGCGTATGCAAAGGTTTCACGGACGAGTTGCCCACTAGTTGAGTTTGCAGTAGGTATATATATATAATGTTTGCTCGGCAAAGTTGCCCTTGCATCTGCTATTGCTGCTCGAAAGGGGTGTGTATTATATTATATTTGTTTACTCCCATCGCGAATAACTCGCTTCGAGGGGGAGATCCGTACATGCTATCGCGATTGTTAAGAATACTTTTTCGGTAAGTTAAACTACCATAATATCGTACGGTTAATGATATAATCATCAAGAGCAAAAAAAATACTTTTAAAAATCTCAATTAAGTTCTGTGACGTTTTCCACATTTGAGGGTACAATCGTCCTACGATTTTCATACAATACGAGTCTCATGGTAAAAAAAAAAAAAAAAAAAGTACATATAGTGGATATCTCGACGTCTAATTTAACCCCCATTATAGCACAAGTTTGTCTGAAATACTCCGGGGAGGGGGGAATTTATTCGTCAAATTTTAGCTTCCCAACGCTCTGTATCCCGTCGAAATGCACGTGAACAGATGAAGTGAAAAAAAAAAAAAAAAAATGTATAAATATACTCCGAGTGCACTTTGTACGACACAGCACGCGGTGGATTATGAATCCCCGCGAAAACACGAAAACTCCATCGAGTCGCCGTTGGGTATGAAAATAAAACGAGAGCCGGGAGAGGGGGAGCGCCTAGTTTCGCGACTCTATCGTCGAGAATGAATTCCGCTTCCGAGGAAATCAATGGACCCGAAAGCGGAGGAAAAATCGCTCGCGGCGCCCAATCACGGCGAATCACGCGGATACTCGGAAAAAAAGGGGGAGGGGGGAGGGTTGGCTCCTCGATCTCTGAAAGGCATCTTCTCGACGCGAATAAAGGGAGTGGAAGAAAAGAGGGGATATATTATGTACGCCGCCGAGTTGTGTATTTCGGTCGCTTATCTGGCTTGCCATTCTTCCCTATTGGCGCGACCCAATCTACCGTCAGCAGCTGCAACCAGTTCCGTATCGAGCGAAAATATAGGGACGACTCGATGAATATTCAGGCAACGAGCAAACACGTACACAGGTATAAAAGATACCAAGATGCCGGCCTCCGACCACCTCAGGCGTGAATTACTTTTCAAGTTTGCCTCCTCGCCACAGCCTCTCCACCCCTGCATCATACACAAGTGCAAAGTTTGCCCCTTTACCTTCGATACATAACTCTCCATTCATCCATCTGTCTATATCTTTCCGTGCACCTGTACCTATACCTACCGCGTTGCGCATCATTTATTTAATGGAGCCTCGAGATAACTCGACTCTGCAAGCTACTCGTATCTGCGCCTCGACCTATATCCGCATACGCGCGCGCCCGCTTTTTTTTTTTTTTTTTTTTTTTTTTTGCAAATTGAAAAAAAAGGACAACGTCACTGTGAGGAGAAATTTTAATATCAATCCAACTGGCAAACGTTTTCGCCGAGCGGGTGTCCTGTACGGCAAAGTATATAGTTGCAAGGTAAATTGAATTAGCTCCGAACAAAATAAACAAGTGATGAAAATACCAGGGGAGGGAGGTAGGGAGGCTTTGTTGTTTATTAGTAGAGAAAAGAAGAATCCCGGCTCATTGGACCGAGCGAGGGAAAAGAGGCAATTACGTCCGTCGAACGAAGCATGTATATATATACACATGTCTATGTAGGGAGGGGGGTGGACGAGCTTTTTCCGTGTCCCCGTAATTTATTCGTAGCACCGAGGGACTTAATTACAGCGGTTAGCAACGCCCCGACGCCCCGACCCGTGCACGTACGGGCGCTCTTCGTGTATATAGTTAGGGGGTGGGGAAGGGGACGTCATCGTTGTTGTTGTTGTTGAGAGGCTGCACGATGTGTATGTATGCACAATAGGTTAAACGTGCTTGCAGCAAGTCATCCGAAGGAGCGGGACATTATTCATAAGCGTGACAGGATTGGATTGGCTTAGCGAAATCACCCCCACGAGAGGGAAGCTGGAGGATAATAAGGCACTGCTGGGTATCTGCTATGCGAGATGTGAGAGGTGCGAGGTCGGCTACGGCTCGAGTTTGTGAGGAAATAATTATATCGATAAGGTTTGGGGCTCTCTTGACTCGGCGATTTATGCTAGAAATTCAAAAGAGTCGATGAGTTGGGAGTATATATATTATATACATGTATGGTATTGATGAACAAAGCAAAGACAGTGTGGTTTGTGTGACTCGAATAACATCGTATTATTGGATTAAAAAAGTGATTTTAAATTAATCGTTTATCATTACATTTTAAAGGCACCGTTGTTTGTTTATGCAAATGTAAATATCACCTCAAGCGTACGAAACACGAATTGAAATACACTCGTTGAAATGACCTTTGCTCATACATATTCAATGTTTATCTCGTTTGCACCATTTATTTGGCAAATAAACGATTACTCATGTTTTGCAATAATTATATCCTTTCAGGTTTCCCGAGAACCTCATGCCAACATTTTCCATCGCCAAACTAACATACACGTAAGTTACGTTTCGACTGTTACAATTAACTTTTCATAACATTAAATGCTTTTCTTCTTTGTAATTTTTTTTTTACTTTAATTGAAAATGTTAATTACACATCTGTTCACCACACATCTTTTGTTTGAATAATCAGCGAACCATTTTACCGTAAAACAAACTGTTTATGATTACATAATCTCTCAATTTTTCAAGCAAAACATTAAATAGGGACTATTAGTGTATTTCTGTACTAATTGGTAGAGTATCAACGGAGCAGGAGTATAAAGAAATGTCAACGACTTTCTCTAATTTCAATAAGATCTCGTTAAAAAGCTCTCGATTCAATAAAAAGCTCACAACGAGATCAAAAGTACGAAAACTATATCATAGGAAGCTTAAAAATGAATACTTTTTTCCTTTTGTTCCCAATGAATATTCGTTAAAATTTTTGCGCACTTGATCGAAAACGCATTAAGCACCCGTAGAAGCAAAAAGCTTTCCAATTAATTTCTCGTTCAACTTTTTCATTTGACGAAGTAAGTATATAATGAGTATGGAAAATGTATTAAAACCTCTTTGCCACCCCTACCGAACTTTTGCACGTGTAATAATAAAAAAGGAAAATTTTTCTCATTGGCATTCCGTATAATTTGCGTATATTTACAACTAAAATATAATCTTTGAATCCAACAAAAGCCACACGAAACAACAATAAACAAACCCCACGATCCACTGAAATATTCAATAACCGCACCCTGGGTCCGCAATCCCTTATACGGTCCCTAATCCCCGCTGCAGCGGCCGCGAACCGCCACTCGAAAATTCCAGCTGAGCTTTTTAGCGATCGCCCCTAACACAGAAGTGGATTCGCGGAGGGGGGGTTGGCCGAGTCGCGGCGACCGCAATCTCGAGCACCGCCCGAGATACGGAGGCTTATACCGCGGCCGCACTGCGGCACGTTCGCGCGCGCATTAAACATATATACATCACACACACACGACCACAGTCGCAGATTTGTATGGAGCTTGAATTCCGCAGCTACGTATACCACCTACCCAAGCTGTGCCCATACATTTTGTAGCGCGCGTGCGAGTGTCGGTGGATTTTTGTCCCTACGGTGACTTTGGCTGTGTACAGCCACATGAAGCGACACTTTTTCACTTACTTTCCTTTTCTTTTTTTTTTTTTTTTTTTTTTCATTACACTCGCGCGCAAACCACAAAACGGAAGCCCAACTTTGCTCGTTGTTGATGCACAGTCGCCTCATCGTTGAAATCACAATTACCATATTATTCTGAACGCATTTGAATCACAGGGAGGATAAAAATCGACCATCCTTCGAAAAAAAAGAAAGAAAAAAATTGCTTCAGCCCATTCTCGATTTTTTCCCCTGCTCCGGAGCGCGCATTTAAATTCAATCAATTTTTTCCGCTCCCGGAGCGCCCAGCTCTCGAAAGCAAACAGAGCATCGCCACCAACGCGTTTCAAAAAAAAAAAAAAAAAAAGCACCATCGCTGTCCGGAGTTTTATTGACCCGCGAGCAAACAGAGCATCCTCGGGAAAATCAACTGCGGACTGCGGCCAAAGATATCGCTGGTGTGAAACTACTCGTTTATCGGGGCCACCAGCAGAAATACATATATACATATACATGATAGTCGAGGGCGTATTAACGCGGACATGCATTGGATAGGGTGGTGGGGTTATACTCTAGGGAAATTTCAGGGTTGCAGGTGTACACGAAGCGTGAGTCACTCTTTGGTGCGGGTGTTTCAAATGTACGGGAGAAGGTTAAACAAAAATCTTTTTTTTTTTTTTTACTTTTGATGAAATTCTTGGTGCGGATTGATATTTCGAAAGTGCAGCTTTACGGCCAAAAAGACGTATACGACGGTGACACCGTTGTTAGTTTCCATCAGCTGCTTCGGTCCTTTCCGCGCGTACGGGTAGTACACGTCCATATATAAGAAACAGAAGTTAGAGCTCTCGTGTACGAGGCTGGCCTTGCAAAAATTCCGATCACGTCTCCGCCCGGAATTCTCCCGTCTCTCCCTTTCAATCGAGTAAAACTTAGCTGGCAGCTCGAGAGTGGAATCGATGTTTTTTTTTTGTTTTTTTTTTTTCAGAGAACAAAACTAAAATACGATGACCCCATACGCTAGAGCTGTACGCCATCCGAAACCGGAAATCGATCGTTTGTACGAGATGGGGATGAAGGGAATAGAATTTTTTTTTTTTTTTTTTTTTTTTCGCAACCGAGTGAGCAGCGTAATTGATCGCTGATGGACTTTGCGGGAGACGCGGTCGCGATTTTTCGTGAATATAAAAACAGCGGCAAGGGGTCGAGCGAGGAATTTAAAATGAGATTTCGCGGGGGCACGAATGGAGCGCGGCTGAGATTTATGCGCGCTCGTTAAGAGTTTAATTGTGGAAGTGACGGGCTCGTATCGGATTTACGAGGCTCCGAGTTTTCGTCGGATGTGACGTGATTTTTTTGTTTGTTTTTGTTTGAGAAATGACGGGAAATTGTCTGCGGGACGTGAGCGCTGTGTTGTATGACAGAGATTTTTTTTTTTTTTTTTTTTATTGAGCTCGTGTACTTCTAAATTGACTTTTTCATGCAGTTGAAAATAGCTTGGGTTAATTATACTTGTTTTCACTGAATTGATTTGCAAGCAACGAGAGAGAAACGATAATACTGCGTCCGAAAATGAATGTTAATCAATAAATATTGTCTTAGCCGAAAAGTATAGAAAAATAGTTTTTAAAAACACGTGAACGTGATAAAACAACATAACAATGTTATTTTTGTCGATGTCATTGACAGACGTGTGTGTATGTATTCACGGAGAGGAGAATAAAATAATTATTGGAAAAGAGAAAATGTAGACGTAATAAATTGACGTGTATTGGACAGGTGAGCACTTACTAAGTTTGAAGCAAAACATGGTTTGGATAACTCAGTTACTTATTTCTTAACGACTTGATGCTGGTTTATTTTAAAACTACTGAAGAAGGAAGTTTCAAGTGTATGTATGGAATTGATTCGACCCAATTTGATATATATGGATTGAAAAATCGAATTTCTATCAAAACAAATTCATCCCGAAAGTTATGTAAATTGAACACTGGAAATTTTTTTTTCCAACTAGACGAGAACACAGGTATTGAAGATATAGAAGTAGGAGTTTGAAATAAAAATATTTTGTAGATTCAGTAGAACCCATAAAAAGTGGTAATAGCCTAAAAATAAATGTTCTTTTTTCATCGGAGATAATTTTAAAGTAGAAAACGAATTTCCTGCAACAGGGGCGGCACCAATGTTAGCGTAGAAATATATTACATATATTATGTGTGAAAACGAAAGGTATAAAAAGTAAATCCATAAATAAACTAAAAAAAAAAGAAAAAAAAAGAAAAAACACCGAGGAGTACTTATTTGTAAAACGAGAGACAGCAGTGGCGGTCGGAAATAAACAAGGAGAGACAAAAAATTGAGAGTACGGCTGGGAATGCAACCGAACGTTTGTTTCCCGGCACGCGAAAACAAAAGTCTCGTATCGTTTCTTACGCACACACATATTACCTGTATACACCTACCGATGAACATACGCGGTCGTTTTAAAATACGGCCAGCGATTCTTTACGTCGCGGCACTGGTACAAGTGGTCTTTTGTTTATGTTCCCATCTGTATTTCGCCTCAGCTATTTTTTCCACTCGTGTGGCTATGCATATACCATTCTACGATCCTTTCGCTGCATGGCGCGACCTATTTTCCGTGCTTATACTGTAGACGGTCCTTTCATTTTGGACTATCTGTGTTATTGTTTTGAGAGGCCGAATTTTCACTGCTAACAAACGGCTGAACCCTCATTTTTCTTAATAAATTGGTAACACGGTTGACCTTCTTTTTACACAGTTTACTTTATAGTACATACAAATTAGAAGCTTTTTTACAAAGGGTTTGTTTATAGTGTAGCCCTGTAAGGAAATACCTAGCGTTTTAGATACTGCACGGTTGTGTATAAAATTTTTTATGGACAAGTTCTTTCAATTTCATTATATTAGATAATATTTTGATACGATCGAAGGTCACATTAATTTCTGTCTAATTACTATAAACAATGTAGAATAATTCAATAATGAAAATATTTTATTTGATGTTGAATGTTGTAAAATCAATACATAAAATTTATATGGCAAGTATTTGAAATTTCACCTTGTCTAAGATTATAATCAACTCAATTTAACTTAATACTTTTACTTTGTGTAATATTTTCTCGAAATCCCTTTCTTTCGCGAAATTATAGAACGTTGTGACATCCTCATTAATATTGAACTTGCAATGGTACCATTAATGGTATTGTACATAATTTTTATGCATCATTTCTTCTTATTATGCAGATCTTGGCACTGGACTCTCCTGAAAATTATTATTACCATTGTTTTAAAATTTTCAACGCATTGGTATATCAATGTTACATTTAAATTATTAAATTTGGCTTTAATAGGACGAATTAACTATTCGTATGACCTTAGGTTAATGAAAAATAAAACAAACGTATACGCTTCTACCACCACCTATAAATCATTAAGCCGAATGATAGGGAGATGAACTTGAAATCCAGTGACAGAAGGTCATAGTCTCAAACATATACGTTCTCATGTAAGAAGGATTGAAAGCCCCAATTGTTAAATGAAATGAAAAATAATTAAATAAGCAATCATCGGATAAAATAATTAAAATATCAAATACACTTACGTTGTATGGATTTAGTTTGGGTGTGGAAGGGAATAAAACACCGCCACTTATAGTTACAGCAGTAGTGGCACTCTTTGCAGCTTCGAACTCCTTGGGATGTACACCATGGATTTCTAGCTGCTCGAATCCAGTTTCTACATCGGTAGTATCGCTACTCGCTTTCTTTTTATCATCACTTTCATACGTGCAGAAAAATTGGAAGTAGAGCAATAGTTGAATCGAACCAGTAGCCACTTGAATTGTGTTCAAGTTATA